CGCGCCGATTTTTCTGCGCTAAGGGTATCGTTAAGACCCTCACCTGTGGAAGTCGAAGAGGCGCGACTTGAAACGGTTGCGAAATATGAAGATTATTTTGTTGAGAGAATTTCAAATATTATTTCTCTCTCCCGATATGTTGCGTTTTATATAAAATTGTCAAGTTATTTTTATTTGCAATTTTAATTTCGATCGTAAAAATTTCAACTCAAATCACACGAGAGATTGTTGAAGCTCGCGAGGCTTTGATTGAAGGTCATTATTTTTGAATCGCAATATTTCGTCACATTTCTCCCTCTCTTGTAACGGGCCAACGTCCGCTCGTGCGATTTCTTACGATCGTTTCACAGTGTAATTTTTACGAGGAAGAAATTAGTATGGGCTGTGGCGACTGTTAAAGACCCCCTTAAACGCCTTCGAACCGATGATCGATGGCGATTGACCGCAACCCTCTCTTCGTCGTCGTCCTCTTAGGGCTTTATACGTGGCCATTGTTGCTTGACGGGCGCGAGAGAGGTAACTTAAAGACGAGACTAATTGTCCGTCGTAAAATGGCGGTCGCACATCACTGCGTATAAATTCGATAAGCGTTTCGAGAGACAAACGTTTGTTTCTCTTCCACCAACAATCTTTGTCGCGTTATTTAATTCGCAATTGAGTTGCAAATTCGCGACTACGTAGATATCTCAACTCAACAAGATAAAATCTTGTTAACGGAATTATTTATTGCGCGTATCCAGTCCGGAAATCAAAGTTTGCAAAAGCAAACAACGCGACATCTTGAAAATAAATTTGCCTTGGAACGATTGTCGATCTCGCAGCCGAGATCAACAGTATGCGCAAGATCAGACAGCGCACACATAATTCAACAAATTTATTATATGATACGTCTGTTTTATCAAAGGCGAGATCTCTGGATGTTGGAGAGATGCGCGCGTAATCTCGGCGCTGATTACCGAAGTGATTTAAGCGTACCGAGAGATAAATCTCAAGAACCGAAGAATGTCGAACCCGTCGCGCTCTTGTAAAACCATATTTTACTTTACGACGAGATAAGATACTCACAGAGACCACAATTGATTTTTCCCCGTTTTTGTCTCGTTCGTAAATCTCCGATTTGGAGCACAATCGTCCGCTGTCTTTTGCCAGGCAGCGAGTCCGCCTCCCTATTTTTTGTCAAACGTCAAAAAAATCGCCCGGCGATAAAAGATGATTAACATTCAGTCGACTGCGCGTTAGACGGGAGCTTGTCTCGCGGCTCCGTCGATATAAATGAGGCGCATTTATCGCCGGGATTAATTGATTCATTAAGTGCTGTAGAAGCGCGTGCGCGCAGAGGATTCGAATTCCACGCGGGTCGTTGAAACGTAATATAGTGACGCGTAGAGTTCGATGATTCACTAGTCGCGCAATCGCCACGAAATCGCATCGTCAATCGATAATACGTACGCGTATAAAAAAAAAAAAAAAAAAAAAAAAGAAAACACGGATCGCGCGCAGTCGCCACGAACCGCAAATTAACTCTCGCAACAACTTAATGCGGAAATAATGAGCGTGCGGCGCGCATTAATATATTCGCAAATCACCAGGTTTCTCAGAGAAAGCCCGAAGAAATCCCGTGCTCGCAATTAATCGAGAAGCGGGATCAGAAGAGGTCAGTTATTCTCTCGCGAGCCTCTTGTGTTCACTTTCGATTTTCCTGTGCAATTCGTCGATTCGCGCACCGGTTATTAATCGCTGCTCGCACCGCGCGGTTGCGACACCCGCCGCGTCGCAAGAAATAAGTAGATTAATCGACCGAGAGTGTGAAAGAAACAGATTAATCGACCGAGTTTGTGTTTCGCGCGAATTTTGCCGCACCGTCGATTTTAAGAATTTCCGCAACACTTTGTCGCTCTTATCGCGCCAATAATCGATGGATTTTTCACCGGACGGCATTCGGGGTTTTTTTTTTTTTTTTCCCGTTAAGTGAAACGCGGTTAAATTATTAATTACCTGTCCCCCTCCGCAACTCGTTTGACTTGGCAGACAGACTGCTGACTTACGGCGCACCCCCCGTGCGCGCGATTACGACATTACGTATTCATTACGCGGAGATAATAATAATAATAATAATAATACACTCGCGGTGGGACTCGATAGTAATTGCGACGAAAGCTTCGGCAAGCAATTAATTTGACGTGGCTGGGCGATAAGTGTAATGAGGGAGGAACGGATTCGTTTATATTTGCTTTTAATTGCATATTTGTGACGCGAATGCCTGACAGTCACCGTACCGCGAAATAACGTTGGCATACGCGCCGAGCGATTCGTGTTTGAAATTGAATTCGCGAAAAAGCGAATTGCACTTATTACAACGTCGGAGAGAGAGAGAGAGAGAGAGAAAAAAAAAAAGCTAGCAGCAACTATTTAAAAGTAATTAAAATTGTTAGCAGCGTTTGTGCAACCTTTCAATTTTGAACGTAATCAATTAAATTGTGTTAACACATTTGTGTTTCATGAAGTTTAAATCCGCACGTGAAGTTGTGTATGTGTGTGTGTGCGCGCGCGCGTGTTCTGCGGTGTTCAGTTTCTGCGCGCGTACTTTTTTTTTCCCGCGGTTTAAATCGAAATTGGGTTAGGTCAATCCGGAGAGAAGAGAACGATGATGGTACGTGGCGAGGTGGAAGCCGATTGCGGAGGGTCCGTAATATCGCGGCGATGAAAACGCCCGCTGCAAAGTATCGGGTTGCGAGAGGAGAGCGCCCGGGACTTAACCCGTAAACGCGACCAGTTGCAACAATCAGCGACTACCGGTTCGCCAAATGAAGGTCTAAGGCCTGAGAGCGCGCCCTTTGTCGGCACTCGGGCACTCCTCACGTGCATGCGCGAATTTCAACCGCAACGCAAAAAAAAAAAACAAAAAAAAAGAACAAAATTTCTCCTTCGAAACATCCCGCTGCGAATTATATATTGGATTGTAACCGAAATAAAATTTCGGCCTCCGAATAAACAATTACGGTTCCTCGCGGTCGTCATTACACACAGCGGGAATCGCGGGGCGAACGTCGCTCGTATCGAAGACGACAATCGCGACCGAGAATAAATGACGGGAGATCATCTAATAATTTCCAAGAAGCTCGTTGTCGTGTATAATCGCGCGTGCAAGAGCTGTCTTGTTAAAGCGACACAGAGGACCACCGACCACGAAGGCGCGTGTCATCCGTCAAATTACGGCGGTTGACATTCTCGACAAACTCGTGTTCGAAAGTCGATCAAAGCAACAAGTTACGACAAAACATATCTGCGATCGTGTCGTTTATTTATTTTGACTGACACCATTGGCGGCATTTGGAAAACCGATATTGTCGAACCGAGTGTCCTGTTTCTCTCTCGCTCACAGACAAACGTTTCACAATTTAAAAAATTTTTTTCTAACACGTTACTCGAAATATTCTTCGAGGAATAATTCGTCGCGACGAAAGCAAACAAAGTCTCGCCGCGACAGATAAGTTATTAGCGAGACGCGCATCTCGCGAAAACTCGGGAATAATTTTTTCTTACGGTTTTAAGTGCTTTCGGTCACCTGTGCGGTATTTTTGACCATGTGACACACATTATTGCTCGGGAATATCGTTTGTACGTTTATACTGTTGACACTTAACCGGATTACGACGAGACTCGCTTAAAATAATTCAATTAGCCAATGGACGACGTCGAGTCGTCTCATAAACGCCACTTGTTTCGCCGCGGACGGTAAACGCGTCCGCTTCGAAATCGCGGACCGCGATTATTTCTCTACGTGGATTTAGATTCGAACGGTTAGATACGCGAGACACATTTCGCATCTCATTTCCAACTTCGCGATAACATGCCGCCGCGGTTGTACAAGGACAAAAAGAAAAAAACACGCCATTTATTGCGCGCGCGTATAAAGTATCGTGTCGCATAACGTATCTGGCATCGAAGTGGTCGGAAAGGAATTCTCCCGATTCCGCGGCTCGATATCGCGCTCGAGCGACGATCTGTAAATCATGCCCGCATATTGTTGGCTCTTCCCGGGACATCACCGCTAATAAATTGTATGCAATACAGTTTACTCGATTAATGGTACTTTCACCCGTCAGATAAAGTCTTCCTCTTTTACGTCGCCGAGTTCATCTCGTTTTGCGCGCGATGTATGTACGCGTCTTTCTCTCTTTCTCTCTCTCTCTATCTCTCTGTCGGCGATTTATCGGACATGCGCGCGGTAGGCATGCCCGCATTCGCCAGAGCGGTTTTAATCGTTCAATCGATCCGGTTCGCGCGTCGCGCCGTTAATTCGCTTTAATACATTATCCCCGGCAAATTATATGCGTCGCGACCAATACCCAATTATTGCGAACTCGCATGCCTACGACGCGTTACGCGAACGGAAAGCACGCGGAAAATTTGTTGCATGTCGGACAAATTCGTGTGTCGATTTTTTTTCATATTTGATTGTGAATTATTGATGTAATCACTTCTCTTCTCTCTAACAATTTGAAGAGATAATTTTGTAGATTTTATTCAAAGCAAGGTTTTTGTGATATACGTTGTATAACATATTGTGTAATATATATGGTATATATGTGTATAATAC